CCCGCTCATTAATGTAATAAGCTTTCATAGTACATGTATTTATTTTTTTGATAGAGTAACATCTCGATATAATAACACTAAATCCCCGCTTTATTGTATCGAGCGCCCACTGTATTATCGTTATTAATCATTATTACATAATAATAATCAAATACGTAATACGTATATGTACATAGCGATCACCGTTACCCAATAATACCGAGGGTTACACGCATGAATAGATTCCGAATATACATGTACATGTATATAGTACAAATAGAACTCGCGATTTTACTTCCATTTTAATATAATTTGGCAAAAACTTTAAAAAAAAAGAGCATTCCATTTAATGCCTGAGAATAGATTTATTTACATTGCATTCCTGTTCTTTTAAATCATTTATTCTCTGAAATAAGAAATTCAACGTTCAACGCATGTTAAATTATTGTTTTCTCAAAATGGAGTTTTATATTAATAATAGAATTTTTGAACGGACAATTTATTTTTCATTTATAATATACGTATAAGCTCAATTAATTTTTGTCAGCTGAGCTACTTTTCGAAACTCATTTACGTAAATAATATCGGGAATAGCTCTACTAATTTATTCTTGCTAGCTAAGGCCAATTTTTATTAGTTTTAAGTCTTTTATTGATTTCATCGATACTGAAAATTATGAAAGTTTAACATAGGCACTTTCTAGAAACCTGAATTTATTGCAATCTGAAATTCAAGATTAAACATAGTCAATCCCCTCATTAGCGTTAGTTTCACACTCTTCATCTTTTCTGATCCCAGTCATAGTAAAAAGGCACCTCATTTGTTATGCCTCCCATTTAGTGCTCCAACCGGGTCGGGTCCAATCCGTGACCGACCCGAAATATTTTGGGTCAGCCTAAAAGTCGTTATTTCTCGTTCAATATTAATTCAAATTAAACGAAAATTTGTGGATAAATATACAATTACATTCCAAACAACTCTACTTAAGACACAAATACAAGTGTCTTAGTAAAAATAAAGTTATTAAGGAAAAACTATTTTACGATTTTCGGATCAAACCCGACCCGAACAGAGCTTTACCCCATTAATCACCTCATTTGTTACGCCTTCCATTAATCACCTAATTGGTCTGGAACCGATAATGATAGAACATAAAATTGTTAACTAGTCATTACTAATATAAATTATTCCCACTAAAATAGATTTTGAACTTAGCCTAATATAGTAACTAGTCCTTTATAAGTGGAGTTAATATCACTAGTACAAATATTTGATTGGCGGGGAATTAATACGATTTCACAAAAAAAAAATTATGTAATGTTAATAATATACAAGTTTTGTTCGTTCTTTTTCGAAGAATCAATAAAGAAATTTACTGATACCGGCTGGTTATGTTACTTTTGTTATCTAAAAATTTGTAATGTTATAATAATTCGATAAGTTAATATTGCCGAGAAATTTTTTATCCTTATATATTTCGTTACGCTATGATCAGTTTTCTTTGAAGAATCATTACCCAAGAAAATTTATTTAGCATAACAAGTTATGTTGCCTAGGGGTATCCGTATCTGATCCGAAATTATTATAAAACCGGTTTATATTAACCGGTTAAAATTTTATACTGCTGGACTGGTAACTTCATATAATTGATATTCTCTTCCCTTCACACCCTGAGGATTTACAGATTTCTCAAGGATTCGAACCTTGTAAAATCTTTGTGTAATAATCATCAGACCTTAAGAACAAAAATACAAGTGTCTTTATTCTAATTAACTGTGTTTAATTTGTTTTTATTAATTTTTATGTGGCGATGAAAGGGGATATTTTTTTTATAACGAAAACGATAGTAATAGTTTAAGCTATCAATCTAGGGGTCCGATCTGTTCGGTCTTGTTCGGTAATTTACCGAACCAAAGCGGTTGATAATTACCGATATCTTTTGGTAACTACGTATAAACAAGATTTGCTTGATAACAGTTAACCCAATAAAGCTAGACAATGACGAAAAAATAAGTACGTACACGTAATTCTTTCTGGAATATGCTACATGTATATCGATGTTGCTTCCGGTTAAGGTTACGTTACGAGAATTAATATATGAAAATTTAAAAGAGCTTGCTATGGCTCACTAAAAAAATATATCAGACATGGATTTACAATAAAAGAAATGCTTAAAAGATTTTTGAATAACGACAACACAACGATCATCGAAAAGACAAATAACATCATCACAATAAAAGTTGTTTTTGTCTTCTATCACGATCAGATCTACAGAAAGCTTTTGTGAGAATTTCTCAAATGAAAGTTCAAGATTGTTTAAGTTTGATATTCTTGATAGAATTCTATTTCGTAGCTTCCAACGAAAGACATCTAATTTTGTGACACACTGCATAGAGTAGACCACGATATAACGATAAACACCAAAAGTAAAGCTTCATTTTAATTATGCTTCGAAATTCTCAATTCCATTGGAATTTTCTTTACAGTTAGTATATCTTGATAAAATATTTATAATACATTTTTTGTAACCATCTAAACTTGATCTGCTAAATTTAATATCCAGAAATTTCCTAATCCATTCGTATAAAGTTGAAATGTGTTCGGATTCAAATGTGTTGCGATATTTATCAGGGCATCTGTATTCTAAACAAAATGAAATTAGTATTAGGATGTAAAATAACTGCAAAGAAATGCATAATAAATGCTTACCATTTGCGAAAAATCAGGAGAGGCGATAGATTCACTCTTGGTTAAACTCGAACTCTGATTTTTGTTGGTCGCATTTGCGAGCTGATTAACTTTGTTTGATATTTGTTCGATTCGTTTCTCCAAAGTCTCTAAGTATTGGTTAGATTGATTGCAATTTTTGCAGGGATTCTTATTGTTGTTTCCGCGATTCCTTCTCCTTAATGATTGGTATTTTTCGTTTTGCACATAGAAAATATGCTTCTTTCCAGTAGTATCAATTTCAGTTTTATCGTGTAATGATGACTTTGTAGGTGCCATTTATTAGTACAGTGATAAAAGTAAGATATGCGATTTATAATATGGAGAATAAATTCAAAGATATAGTTTGCTTAAACTTATTTAATTGAAATCAAACTTATTATTCACAAGGTGAAAATAAGATTCAATTGCGTTTTTATAAGTTTGATCTTTGATCTAATGATGTCATATAAAAAGAATATAAAGATTTATTATTAGTACTATATATAAATATTTTTTAGTTTGAGTTCTCAATAGGGAATGAAAAAATGTCCACGAAACAATGGTTTTTACGTAACTTTTTTTATACGACAATAAGCATTTTTTTCCGGGCAATAATTACATTCACACACATATAGGGTTTATGTTCACATGTGAATAAATAACTACGTACGTAATTGGATACAGTATGTGTAGTCTTGTTCGTCGTTACAGTATTCATTTTTTTTTACTTGTCTTTCGGTAATCAGGATCTTTGTTTGTGAGTAATATATTAAAAATTTCATTCTGTATATAGAAAATGCTGAGTCTATACTGAGTTCATAGTTTCTCCGTTTACTGTTATAGAATAAATACATCTACTGACTGACTATACTTCTGGATTAAGCTCATTTTAACTCAAAATAGATTCTCTTTGTATTTCCATAACGAAGAATCTCGCCATATACAATGGCGTGATGATATACATCTTATCATTGAAAACCAGACAACCGTATATAATAAAAGCAACTGACAAAGATAATATCAACACGAAAGGAGCTAGAGAACAATAACGAAAGATTGAATAAAAGAAAGAACAGAACAAAATAACGCATGATTTAATGGGGTGAAGAGATCAATGATATTATTGGAATATTACAGTTAAAGTTCGATAAACCGAAGGTCTCGGGTTATTCAAGAATAAGCTTCGCTTAACTTTATAAAGTAATATTTATATTATTTTTCGTTATATCAAGCTCTTTGTTAATATGTTCGTCCCTGAAAATTCTCCGTTTTAACGCGAGTAGTTTTATCAAGGGTTCGCTTTATCGAACTTTGGGTTTTGTGTTAATTGAATCATTATTAGCATTATTGGTATCGATGCTACTTCACTGCTTTTAATTTAATAACTTTCTTTTGGCTCGCAAGGAATCAAGAGTTCCATACATATATGTATTCTTATTATTGTCATGGTTGTTTAGATTATTATTTTCATATATACGTATGTTGTGCCCCAAATCACAATCTGCCCCAATTGACAATTGGGATATATCCCAAATTAAAATCTAAACCAAATATAGCCTATCCCTCAGCACTAACCTTAACCTTTACCCTAACTCTGGTCATATTCCTATTATAATTTGGGCCGATTGTGAATTGGGACAATTGTGATTTGGGGCACAACATAAAGTAATTCGGCGGGGTTAAAGTAACCAATAATAAAAATCCATAGAAAAAGCTTATTTGTCCACCGTAATTATTTTAACTAATAATTATCTCAATTTACTTTAAACTGACAAAAAAAACGAGTTTATTTAAAATTCTTGTATTTTATATTATATGCGCATAATATCCAAAAGGCTACGATTTTCAACTATTATGGGTAAAGTGGCGGAATCGTGAACATCAAAAGTGTTACATTGGTATGACGATACTTACCCCAAAGAAATTTAGCATAACCTACCAGAAAAGTAAAGGTACGTACGCCTTAAATGTTTTCTTTTTCAACGGACCTTTTTTTCTGCATTCTTTCCTCTTTTCTACGTGCACTAACTGCTTGCTTCCGTGCTTTCTCCAACTCACGGTTGGTTCACTTTTGAGCGGTCTCTTCTTTCTTCTGCCTTGCGGTCTCAGCCTTCTTTTTCGCCATCTCATCTATCTCTCTTATTTCTTGCCAAGATTTGTCGTTGTAAGAAGCCGTGCAAATGGCAAAGTTTTCCTTCTTTTTGACGGTTCGCTAACTCTTTTTCTTTGGGTTTGGAAGTCGGATACTTAAGCACTAGCTTTAAAGGAAAAGTACCAGGATTCCTGAAGGTTTCTAGCTCTTCCTGTATTAACGTATGATTTTGTTTCAGTGACGCATTCTCTTGTTTTAGTAGCACATTTTCTCCCTTAAGAAACTCTAGCTCAGCCTTCAGCAGTTCTGTCTCTTTAGCAATACTGGGTATTTGTAAGTTGGCTGGAGTTCTGCGGAAGGCGGAATGTTATCTGATATAGGAAGCGTTTGTTTGGAAGGCTGGTCAAGTTGCTGAGGTGGAAGTGGGGACGGAGGTAAGTCAAATCGCTCAGTCATTAGTGAAGGATCAAGACAGTCATTACTAATAGCATTAGGATTGAAAGGCCAAATTCCTGTAGCTTTGAAGGCGTTAATTATTGCCATGAGAGTGTAGGTCTTAATCAATGCTGGCCCAAGAATTTTGGCAAAGAGTGCTTGGTCACCAGCTCACTGTTGCTGTTATAAAGCATGTCACAGTCTTTACTATACTCCTTCTTAAGTTTGGCCAAGGAATTTTGAACGGTTGGAGGATATACGTGGTATGAGGTGGAAGTGCGTATAGTAGAATTCCATTTTCACGGCAAAAACTAATTCTCATGTAATTTATGTGGCTTTTGTGACCGTCGAGCATTAGAAGAACTGGACGAACGGGCGAAATGGAGTTGACAAAGTGTTCCAGATACATTTGAAAAAGGTCCTCTAGCATGTATTCCGTATCGGTAAAACCCATAACAGTGCCAGCCGGAGCTCTATCTAACAAACCTGGGATAGCACGAACACCTTTGTAGATAATCAAGGGAGGAATGTAACTGTCGGCAGCTGAGATCGATGAGGCAACGGAGATGTGATCGTGCGCATTGCCATGTGAGACCTTGTAGCAAGAATCTTTTGAACCTTAGGAGAGAGAACAAAACCCGTTTCATCCATGTTCCATATACGGTCCGCAGTAAGAGAGTGCTCCTGAATTACTTTGCCAAGCTTGTTAAAGTGATCCTTCACAATGGTCGAATTAGCTCTTTGTGCATGTGCTTCTGAAAAGGCCTGGGGAACACGAAAAGATAGATCAGGATGATCTTTCATAAAGCGATCCCACCAGGCTTGGCTGGGCCCTTTATTGGCAAAAGGATGGTCACAACTATCACTGCATACAATCTTCATTACGCAGTGATTTACTCCTGATCTTGGCCAAATCCCAATCTTTGCATGTTTTTGCAATAACCCACTAGTTGTTCTTCATGTTCACTCAAGACAGTTGCGTGACCAGGACATTTGAGTGGGCCATTATTTTTGATTGTACGTCTGAGAGCTGTCTCTGAAACCCTGAAGCGTCGAGAAATTACACAAATATTAGGATGTTCAGAACCATTAAGTGCCTGAAGTGCAGCATTAATGGCGTCCTGACGTACGGTTTGATTAGTTTTTTCGATTTTCGATTTGTTTGTCTTTTTTTCTTTTTTTTTAAGGAACGTTCATACGAGTGCAAATCGAGTTTTTATAGTGTATGCAGTGTCTGGTCATGAGTATGTACGCATGTAATATTAAATATTTTTTTCAGTTTGTTTACAATAAATAGTCAAAAAAATATTTCATGCTACATTCGCACATACTCGTATTGGGCGTTGTATATTAAATTGATGTAATTGTTGTGCAATCTGATTAATGAAATAAATTAAATGCTGCGAGATTCTTCGAAAAGTGGAAATAATATGACGATTTTTTGATATTCGAAAATGGCACGAGACTTAATGACACAGTTGTATAGCGGAAGTATGGTATTTATTAATTAATATAAATATATACAGAAATTGCACAAAAGCTATGTGTAATTGATTTTTTTAATAATCTGCTGAATTACCCATATCCGCCGAATTACCCATATCTACCTTATATATGAAAACATCAGTTTCGAATAAAATAGAAAATTGATTGTGATCTATCTAATTCATTAAACGTGCATCGTACAGTCATAATGGTCAAATTGAAACTTATTAGTGTAACCTACTCTCATAACTTTCTGTAGATCATGTGTAATGTACCAAAATTTTCTGATTGTTTAACGTTAATTGCATATCATATATAGTACATGTATTTTCCTAAAAAGAAATCCAACGCACCAATCATATTTGTTACAATCATTGTGTCGAAAGTTGATGTGCATAAAGTTAAATTATCTATATTTTCATATAAATATTGTAGATCTGACTTGTATGATCAGTTGTAAATTTGTCAAATACGTATATATCTTTTTTGTGTCACACCACAATTGCTGTGCCACTGGTCAAATTTTCAATACCAAATCAGGTATTGATGGTTCTAATTTTTACTAAAACTCAAAGAGGAGGGAAGGAAAAAAATTCTGACATTTATTCCAATACAGTCCTTTACAACGTCCACATTGAGTTGGCACTTTTGGGCCGGTATATAGTACTTATATTATAAACTTCGAATATAGGGAGTTTTTAAATAGTTAAAAATTGTAAAAATCGGAATATAAGCCGAATCCAATGCATATAATGCTGTTATAAAGGATTTTGACTGTATATAATTGATGATTTCTTGCATTCTAATATTTTTTCGCATCATTTACTATATAGTGTTAAAGTATCCTGGATCCAAAACTTTATGATAGTTAATATGTGCATAAAATCACATGATAACAATCTCGAATTTATGAAGTTGATCATTTCTATTTAAGTTATTATATGCAATGGCAATTAGAATTTGCATAAAAATAATAATGTATTTTGCATAATGAAATTCAGCCAATTAAAATAGTTATCAATATAATCATATGACTTATAACATGTCTCAAATTTACAATAACATATAAAAAGTGACAAACTTTGAATAATTACTTTTATTAATTTATAAAGAGTTATTTTAAATATATATATTTTGTAAAAGTATAAAAAGATTTAAAAGTTAATTAAAATTTTATTAATGTGACTAAATTGTATGTATTATATATAAAATAAAAAATTCTTAATTTTTAAGAATTATTAACTCAATAATTAGAATTTTTCCAGTCAAAAAAAATATATAATAT